CTTCCTTCCCCAAACCTGAGTTTTGCCATTCACCATGAACAGGGGGGTCCCACTGGCCCATCTGAGACGCCTGTGAACATGAGGCAGGGGCCTGCCTCCCCARGACGCAGCTGGGGGGACAAGGGCAGAGGCTAATCCCAGCCCTCCCCCCAGGGGTCCCCTTGGGCTCTCAAGGACACCCAGAGGTGGCTGCCTTGGCSTGAGCCCTGAACCACCGTCTCTCTTCCCTGCCAAGTTCTTTGCCACGGTTGGGTCTCGGTCCCTCCCGGTGACCCCTCCATCCCACCTCCACTCGGGGCCCTCCCAGCCCCTGCCCCAACCCTAGTCCAGCCCCCAGCCCTTCCCGCTGGCCCCTGGCCCCTGACCATGGTCTCTCCTGTCCACAGGCCTCTTCTTTTCTCAGTTCCGCTGTCTTTTAGGGGTGGGGACCAGGGCTGCGGGGGGCGGGCTGCAGGGCAGGGGGAAGGTTTCACCCAACACCACATCCTGTTTATGCCCTTTCTGGGACAACTGTCACGGGGGCTCCTCCCCCTCTTCCTTCCCCCCATCTGTCAGGACCTGGCAGACTTTGCCATCACTCAGGGTTCTAGGACTGCCCACCCCTGCGACTGACTTGAGGATGTAAATTTGGCCCTCTGAGTTGGGATTGTCATGAGGACAAAAGAGCTCGCTCCCCGATGGTGCCCAGCAAGGTGGGGGTGCTCAACAAAGAAGGGACGTTAGCCGGGCGCCATTGCGCACACCTGGGATCCCAGTGGCTTGGGAGGCTGAGGCAGGAGGATTGCAAGTTTGAGGCCAGCCTCAGCAACTTAGCAAGGCCCCAAGCAACTTAGCAAGACCCTGTCTTAAAATAAAAAATAAAAAGGGGGGGGGCTGGGGATATGGCTCAGTGGTTAAGCATCCTGGGTTCAATCCCTAGTGCCAAAAGAAAAAAAAAAGTAGATGATAATTTTGGCTTTTTGCCTCTCTCTTCTTCCAAGAAGTCTTCCTGGGTTATTTATCCCTATCTAAAATATCCGAATCCCCGAGTTAAGAAAAGAGGGATACAGAGACTTTTGCTAGTCATGCTCCCTCAGCCAGCTGATGGACAGTCACCTCCATATTGCTTGAAAGGTGGGAATTTTTTTTCCTACACACTTATTCAATCTCATGGACCCAAAGACCTCATAATGGCTTCTGAGGCCCTACAACAATGGAGTCAAGCCCTATCCGACCTGTATCCCTCTCGTGTGTGTGGTATTAGGGATCAAGCTTCYCAGGGTCTTGCCAAAGCTAGGCAAGTGCTCTACCACTGAGCTACATGCCAGCTCATCTTTTAAATTTTGAGGCAGAGTCTCACTAAATTGCTGAGGCTGGCCTCAAACTTGCCATTCTCCTGCCTCAGCCTCCTGAGTAGCTAAGATTACAGGTGTGTACCACCGTATTCAACTCCATACCCCTACTTTAAAAAAAAATAGTTTTATATTGCCCTGGTTTCCATGTTGAAATGAAATTCCTAGGTCATGTGACCTACTTACACAAAATAAAAATTTAAAGATCAATATAATAATCTTAACTGTCATTTAAAGAAGAAATAAAAGGAAAGTAATTTTTTAGTGAGAAAATTCAAGCAAATAAAAGAAAAATTTCCCAGGGTCCTACCCCCACTTTGCTCATCCTGTTGATTCACCCGCATCATGATGGGCAGGTGTCCCACCTGTCCCCGGCCCCACCCCACCTGCTCAAGGGTATCTCCGTGACTCTTCCTCTCTCACCTGTCATCAATATTCTCATAATCTCTACTGAATCTTTCCCCCGCGCCTACATGTAGTGTTATTCATTCATTCATTTCGTCCTTTCTTTTTTCTTTCTTCATTTATTTATTTGTACTGGAAATTGAACCCAAGGGCACCCTACCACTGAGCAATGTCCCCAGCCCCTTTTATTTTTGATTTTGAGACACAGTCTCACTGAGTTGTGGAGGCTGGCCTTGAATTGGCAATCCTCCCGCCTCAGCCTCCCAAGTAGCCTGGATTACAGGCATATTCCTTCCATCTTAAAAACAAAAAAACCTACCTCCTGCCCAACCGCTGCTCATTCATTTCCTTCCCTTTTCAGCAAAATTTCTCAAAAGAGTCATCTGCACTTGCTGCCTTTTATTTCCCCTCCCTGTTTTCTCTTGAGCCCTCCCCCGCTTCCTCCACTGGCACCCCTTGTCAGGTCACTCAGGCCATCCATGGTGTGGACCTAACAGTCACTTCTCAGTCCTCATTAGCTGTGTCCAGCGTGGTCACTCACTACCTGTTCCCTGAATCATCTTGGCTTTGGGGACGACCTACTGGCCAGGTTTTCCTCCCACTCCTCTGACTGCTCCTTCTCAGCCTCTTGCTGATTCTCCTGACATTGGAGTGCCCCAGGGCTCAGTCCTTCCGTTGCCTCTATTTGCCCTGACCTCACCCAGTTTTCAAAAAGGACACCCTCATTCTTTCTCCAGTCTGGGGCTCTCCCTGAACACCAGACTTCACATCTCCACCTGGACGTCCTGCTCATGCTTGACCCTTATCTTTTGCAACGTACATAGGAACTGGTCAGCTCTGGACTCCAGCATATAACCAGAGGCTGGCCACTTCTCCCCCCTGAGCCCATCTCCTAGGTCTGCCCACTTTTATCTCCTGCCTGGATTTGGTAGCTGCCTTGATGCCGATTCCCTGACTCTGCCCTACCCCCCCCCCATCTATTCTTCACATAACTTCAGGGAGCTTCATAAAACCAATCAGATGACATCCCTGGGGTATATAGTGCAGTGGCAGAGTACTTGCCTAGCATGTGTAAGGTTCTGGCTTTGATTCCCAGCATGGTTAAAAAAAAAAGACATCTCTGTCAAAACCCACCCATGGCTCCCATCTCCTCTGGGTAAAAGTAAAAGCCAAAGTCCTTGCAGTGACCTTGAAAACTATATTTATTTGTATTTCTTCCTACAATGTTCTTTTGGACCTTGTCCTCCACTATTCTCCTTTGGGCTCACCCCACTCTAGTCATGTTAGCCTCTTTGATTCTGTAAATGACCCTGCCACAGGGCCTTTGTATATGCTGTTCCCTTTTTCTGGAATTCTTCCCCTCTTGGATCACTCCTTCATTCGTTCAGTTATCTGCTCAAGTTTCACCTGATAGAGGCTGTTCCCTATCTGAAATAATTCTGACTGCCCCACTCCATCCCTTTAGCTTGCTTTGTTTTTCTCCGGGTACTTACCACCAAGTTACGTTGTATTTTGCTATTTATTGTTTGTGTCCCTTAACTAGAGTGGAAGCATCACAGCAGCAGGGATTTTTTTTTTTTTTTTTTGGGGTCTGGTTCATTGTCCTATTTCTACCTCCTTGAGTAGAGCCTGACACACTCAAGAAATCTCAGTGAATGAATAAACAAACCAGCATTGATTTGAGCACAACCATTCCATACAGCAGGAGTGTTTATATGTAGTAGGCAGGGTTTGTGATGTCCTCCACCCTGGCTTGAAATGGCCTCCTCCCAGCATCTGTGAGACCGGGAACACCTGGTTTTCCTGCTCTCTCTCTTGCTGTCCGTTCTCAATCATCCTTGTCATTCCTTTTCTCAAGTGTTCCCATTTCTCAAGGTTCTATGAGGTCCAGTCTCCATTGGTTCTTTCTACTCCCTGGGCTAGGTCACTTACTCCCGGAGCTTCAACTACTATCTTTCATGATCCTTTAACCTTGGTTTCCAGCTGCAGTTCTTCAAGGTGCAGGCTCCCGGGTAGGGTACCCTTTGTGCTGGGCATCCCGCACTGAGCTTCTCCCCGGGGGTCAATCTCCCAGACAGAACTCTAGCTTTGTCCTGGACTCCCCTCCCCCGCAGCCAGTTTCAGAGCTTGTTCAGTCTACCTCTTGGGCGTCCCTCCCCCCTGTACCTCTTCCCCTGCCCACAGTCCCGCCCTGGTGCAACCCTTCTTCTGCCCCTGTCCCCAGCTGCCTCCCTGGACCCCCGGATCCTAGTGCCAATCCTTCCAATCTACCCTCCATATATAAGCCAGAGACACCTCCCCAAATCCCCAACTCGCCATGACCCTGCCCTTCTTGAATCCCTTCCCTGGCTCCCCCCGTGCCCCAGGACAAGTCCAAACTCCCTCCAGTGGTCAAACACCTGGCTGCAACTCACTCCTCACCACCCAGCCCTGAAGTCCAGCCTCCACCCCGACTGCATGTCTCTGAATTCCTGTCACAAGCCACGTCTGTCACCCAAGAACCTTCTGAGCACGGGCCCCATTCTCATTAATTCACCCCGACGCTGGACAGTTAGTGGATCAACTAGATTACAACAAAAGTCGTAGCACTCATTCCCGTTTATTGACGGCCTCCTTGACGCCGAGCGCTTACGACGCCTTCTCTATGTCCAGCCTAAAGGGTCGATCTCGCCTCGCTAGTCCGGTCTGCGAGGGGCGCAGAGCGGTAGGCCGGGCCGCCGGGACCCGGGAGSCCCGCGCACTCTGCCAGACGCTCCCCGGCGGCGGGGTAAAGGCCCTCGGTGGGGCGTGTCGGAGGGGCGGGGAAAAGGCCCTGGACGCCAGAATGAGGAATTGTGACTTGGCTCCGGGCCGTGAGGTAGACCGGCGCGAGACTGCCCCCTGCGGGCCTGGAGGTCCAATCCCGGGCTCCGCCGGGCCCGTTGCCCTGGAAACCTGGCGCGCGCCCCTCCCCTTCCCCGCCCTCCGCCCGGAGCCCCAGACCTGGCGGACTGCCCGTCACCCCCACGTCCGACCAATCCCTCTGAGGAGGGGGCGGGCCTCTTGGGCCTCGTTCCAGCCCTGTCGCTCCCCTCCTGGCCAGGACCCCGCCTTTCTCGGCGCACACCTCCCGCCCTTCGGGCTGCCCTCGCCGCCCGTTGGCTGGCGCGCCGTTCGTCACCCGGGCGTAAGCTAATGCCGGCGCGCGGTGGCCCCGTCGGGGCGGGGCCTGGGGCGGTGACGCACGGCGCGGTGACGCAGCGCGACGGCGGCGGTGGCGGCGGCGGTGGTCGGTGCGGGAGGAGGGAGGGGAGCTCGCGGGCCAGAGAGGGCGCGACGGCGGCGGCGGTGGCCTGAGGAGGCCCGGGCGGCGGCGGCGGAGGCCGAGGCGGTGAGTCTCCGGCCGGGCCGGGCGGGCGCGGGGCGGCGGCGGGTCGGAGCGCGCGGGGCTCCCCTCAGGGCGACCCAGGCCGCGCGGGCGGCCCCGCCCCCTCAGGGACCCCGAGCCGCGGGCGGCGGCGGGCGAGGAGCGCGGGCCTCCGGGGGCCGGGCCCGCCAGAGAAGCCCGCAGCCGGCCRCCACTCTCGCTGCCGGGCCCCTTCGGAAGCTTCCCTCCGAAACCTCCTCACGCCCTCGGGATCGCCCCGGGGCCGCCCGGGGACCTCCCTCCGAGCCGCGCCGATCAGCCGGGAGAGCCCCGGAAGCTCTTGGGGCCGCCGCCTACGGCCCGAAAGGCCTCCCCAGAGAGCAGCCCTCGCCTTTCAACCGCCTTCCCCGGGGACCCTCGGGTGTCCCAGCAGCCTTCCCCGCAGACCCCCGCCCTTTGGCCCCGGTTCCCCGTCCTCCTTCCCGATCGAAAACATCCCGCGGAGGCCACTCCGCGTTTCTTCTCACGTCTCCCCCAGGAGCCGCCCTCGTCACCCCCAAAACCTCTCCCCTTCCGAGACCTCCCCCCGAAATCGCCTCCAGACCCCCGGGCATTCCAGAAACCCCCTCCCCAGACCTGCTTCGCACGTCCCAGCAGTCTCCTCCTCACACATCCCAAGAATTTTCCTCCCACCCACCCCGATTCCAGAACTCTCCTTACAGATTTTCACTCATATCCTTCCATAATCCCAAATGCCCCATGAACCCTGAATATCTCCTCTGAGGATTTCCTTCCCCTCCCCCCTCCCCCCAATTTTACTCACACTGAAACGCCTGACCCTTGAAAYTCATCTGGAGGACCCCCCAGTCACCCTGTTGCATCCATCCTCCGTGCACACTCCCGCTTCACAGTCTCCTTTGGACCATTCCGCAGATGCCCCCAGATTTCTCCCAGAGACCTCCATGTTCCTCACACCTCCCCACCCTGAGATGTTCTAGGGATTATCCTCAGGTACCCCAACAGTCCTTCTGCCAGACTCTCTACCTCTATTCTAAAATTCCAGAAATTGCCCGAAATCTCCAGAGAATTTTTCTCCCAAATTCCGAAAACCTCTTCCAGAACCCCTTTAATGCATCCCAAATCTTTCCCAGTAACACATACTACATATTCCAAAAAGTTCACTCATTGCCTCCTGTATTCTTGAGAACCCTTCTTAGAGCCAGGCTCTGTTTGGTATGCCTGTAATCCTAGCCACTGGGGAGGCAGAGGCAGGAGGGTTGTGAGTTCAAGGCCAGCATCAGCAACTCATCGAGCCCTAAGTGAGACCCTGTCTCTAAATACAAAGTAAAAAGAGCTGGGGATGTGGCTTAGTGGTTAAGTGCCCCTGGGTTTAGTCCCCGGTACAAAAAAATGAATAAATACCCCCTCTTAGATAACCGGGTTTTGGAGGTTCCCCCCGCCTTGTGGACCTATTTTAGATTAACTTTATTCTAAAGAACATCCTTAGAACTCCAATAAAACTCTTAAGATCCTCTTCATGACCCCTTTGAAATATAATTTTCAGCGCCCCCCCCCCCTTCAAAGGATCCCAATAACCGCCTGGAGCCCTTCTGAGATAGCCCGGGAAATCCTTCTCAGAGACCCTCCTGACACTCAGGACCCTTTGAATCATTACTCAAATCCTGCCTTAGAAGAGACCTTCCTAGAGATATCGCTCCCTCGGGGTCCCCTAAATGTGCTGGAACCCCCTGTAGAAGGCTCTACACATACTTAATATCCTGCCAAAATAAAAAATCCTACTCTTGACACCCCCAGGTCCCCCTCAGAAGGGTTTCTTCCCACTTCCTCACATGCCCTTATGGAGACTCAGGTTTCTCACAGAAATGTCTGAGGAGTTTTGGGGGACAAGATCCCTCTATCAGAACTTTCAGAAGACTACACCTTCCCCAGACAACTTTAAGAGAATTTTCTCCAAAATTGTCCTGTATCAGCAACCCCCAGCACTTTCTGAGACTTCCTTAGAATGCTCCCTTACATTTCCCCTGTGATAGCCCCTAAGAAACCTTATTCAGGAGTGTGTCATATTTACTGCCTTTAAGACCTTATATACACCCTTTATCTTTACCATTATCATTCCTCCAAAACCAGCTCAGAGACCGTTATGAGTTCTGAGCCYCCTTCTCCCATTATGTCTTCAGAGGCCCAGTATCCTCCAGACTTCTCCCTCCAATCCTCTGTGTCTGCTTTTAAAGATTCTCCCTTACCCCAAACTCACACATATATACTGGGAATCCCAGTGTTCAAAGAGTTTTCTCTTGGATAGATTTTTAAGCCCCACCCCCAAAGACCACCTTCCTTCAGAGACAGACTTAACTCTCTCCTTTAAGACTTATTGAGAACTTTCCCCATTTTCCTTTCAGAAGTCTTCTTCCTTTTCACTTTGAGGGATCCTTCACTGAAAAACCTCTTCCTATTCAGTAGTGGTTTTCAAAGTCTGTTCCTGGGACTAGTAGCAGYTGCAGCACTTGCTAGAAATGCAGATTCTTAGGTTCTACCCAGACCTGCTGAATCAGAAAACTTGGGAGCAGGGCCCAGCAGTCCTGAGTTTTTAACAAACCCTTCTGGTGATTCTGATGCATGCTTAACTTTCAGAACCTCTGCCCTCTAGGCTGCTTTCCTTTCCCCACAAAAAGTCCCTAAAAAATGGCTCAGAGTTGCCTCTGAGCCCTGCTCCCCACTCCCATTTCCCTTTGTGAAGTACCTATCCTCCAAAAAGACTCCTTAACCTTCTTGAAAGGATCTTGACTCCATAAGGTCACCCCACTCTCTGTAATTACTTCACGTTCTGCCTGTGCATGATTCTCTTTCATATACTCCTTAGCACTTTCTCCCTCTGGCTTTCCCTCTACCCCTCCAGCCCACCCCCAAGTCTTTAGTGCTTCTGCTTTAAGTTGCTACCTCCTTGAACATGTGTGTCCCTCTCATCTCCTCATTCATCCCTCTTCACATAAGCGCCCTCCCTTGAGGCACATTTCGGTCTTTTCATTCTGTGTCTTAACTGACAAGTGCCCTCCATTGTATTTAGAGCTCCACTCACCTTCTCTCTGGTGGTTTTTGGTATATTTGACCACTCAGCCTCACTGGCCTGGGAGCTCTGGAAGTACAGGAATGTGTCTTGTTCCTCTCTCAATCTACCAGGTGGGATCTGCATTCCATGAGTTATTGGAAATCATTGGGGAACTGGTAGCCCATGGTTTTCAGCTCTCACTCCCCATTCAGGTTCAGCACTTGTTCCCCATGCCCCCTTTCCTTTCACCTCTTCTCTATACCCAGTCCCCTCGCCTCTCTTCCTGTCCCACGTGCTCCTATGTATAGGACTTCGCTTTGTGCTAACCTATCCCAAACTCTGTTACTGGTGACCTGCCTCATCCCATTTTGATTGGTTTCTCTTCTCCCCTAGCCCTTAAGTCTGGTGCTTCCCCAGCGCTGTCAGCTTTTTTTCCCCAAGAGGAAACAGATTCTAGGTAAACACTGGTACCTGCCTTCAGGGAGCCTCACAGTTCGGTAGAGGGCTTGGGCAGGGAGACCAGGCAGAGCATGAGGTACAAATTATATGTTGTGGRGATTCAGCAGTGAGAGGGAGCCCTTTATTTGGAAAAACTTCCTAGAAAAGTGGTATTTGGGCTGGGGAGTATTCCACAAGAGTTGGAGCAGTGATGGGATGCCATCCGAACAGAGAAAACAACATAAGCAATGGGTCAAACACAAGAATGCCTCATTTCTCACTCATGGGGTCACTTCTGTTCACCTGTGGACAGATGAAAGAAGACATCTCTTTCATTTGGTAGTATTTTCCAGCTGCAYTACTCTATAGCTCTTGAGTGGTCTACAGAGTAATATTAATAATGACTACTGTTTATTGAATTTTTTAAGTACTTAACTCTGTGCTGTCTCATCTCATATTCATAGGAAGCCTATGAGGAAGGGAAACTGTGATTGTCCTCATTTTATGTATGGTGAAATGGGGACTGATAGAAGGTCTTTGGGCCTTGTCTGTCCTAAGATTGTAGTGCCATAGATCAGAGAGTTGGATTTTCAGTTCAGATAGGGGTGGCTGCCAGTGGGGTGTTACAGTAATGATTAGGTATGCAGACTTTGGAGGGCCATATAGGATTTGCATCCCAGATCATCCCTTACCAGTATTGTGTCCTATGACAAGTTATTTAACCTCTTGTCCTTAATTTCCACAATTAAAAAAGGGAGTAATTCTACTGCATTGAATTGTTATAAGGACTAAGTTAGTACAAGTGAAATACTTAGAACAATGCCTTGAAGTGCTAAGTGTTAGCACAGAGTGGTTTGTATAGTCAAGATAGGAGGATTTCAAATTGTGAGCAATAGAACCTTATCTCAAAGTGGTTTAAAAGGGGATTTCAATCCACAGTACCACAAAGAAAAGCTGCATCCAGGAGTTCAAATAATATTCTCAATCTTCTCATTTCTCCCCTAAGTTAGCTTTATCCTCAGGACTCTGCTTTGTGGTTACAGAGATGGTCCTTAGCAATCCCAGGTTTCAATCCTACCCCTTTAGCAGCCTCAGTGAAATTAGAACTTTTTCCTAAGAGTTTCAGTTTGGAAAGAGTTTTTTTCCTTGAATAAATATGAAATGATGACAGAGAATCTTAGAGACATGTTTTGGTTCTATACAATGGAACTCAAATCTCTTGGTTGCTGAGCCAAATCATCCCATGACATTTTTGGGCCTTAATGGTAGCTCCCCTCTTCACTGTCCCCCAGTCCCAGTCATCATCCGCTCTTGATTGATTGATTGAATCTAGAAAGATCTGATGGCGAGTCTGACCCACCAGACTCTTCCTTTAAGATCTCACTGGAAGAGGCAGGGATGAGGTGGTCAGATAGACCTACTCTATAGTGACTTGCACGGTATCCAGTAGTCCTGTGTTCATTTCCTAACCTCTGCTTTGCATTTCCTGGTCTCAGAACTTTGGAAGAGAGTTAAAGGA